GACAAGATAGCTAATAAAGTTTGAAAAATAGACAGGAAATTATACTGTTTTTGACTCGTGAAGTCCAAACAGATTTATGGGGCATCCTCAGAAAAGCTAAGGACCTGGACATGAAGCATATTTACAGCAGCAAAAACTGCCTTTACACCACCATGCAAAAAGAAACATGTATGTACATTCAATGTATATTCCTACACCAGTGTAACTTATTAGAATCTGCTAGAAAATAAGAGTAGTAACAAGAGCAGTGCAGGTGTTGTATGTCTGCAGCTATCCTGTGGCGATAGCCTGCAAACAGTCTATTATCTTCTCCTGTATTGTAGTGGCAAGGCACTATTATAATGCCTACTGCTGCAGCTTCCCTGGATAACTGGCCAGCTGCCATTTACAGATGTAATTTATACTGGGGTATAAAATCAATGTATATTATATTGATGTTGACATGTCATGTGTCTGGGACCTCAATTGGTTATGAACCCAGTGTATACAAGGCCCTGATAATGCCTTTTCATTTCAATCCCAGCACCAAGCAAGCCCTCATGTACCTTCATTTCAGTCCCTATGAGGTACATGGGCAATATCATGTCTGAGAGAGAATCCAATTGTTAGGGAATTATTGGCCATGTAGCAGAGGTGGGAATGCAGCAATAATGAGCAATTTTTCTTAATGTGGGGACATTATTTGTTGCCACTGTGTGATGCCTCCATCCCCATGGCATCATCAATGTCATCATTCTCATTATAAAAATATTGCATTTGAACCCAAAAGAACCTGATCAGGATGAGGACTGCCCTGCTTTAGGTGCTGCACAAACACAGGTTGAGACAAACCCTTGCATCCATGGCTACTTGGAAACCAAGTTTACTATTGTTAAAAGGTAGTTCAACCCCTGCTTGCTCCAAAAGACAGTTGTTCTCAAACAGGGAGGGTAGTGATTTTCTGTGCTGGATAGGCCTGATGTCATTGTAGCCACCACTCTCCTTCAGGAAAATAGTGAATTGAGCCAAGTGTTGAAATGAATGACTACCCCAGTCACTGCACATCAGTTACTGCACATTTAGGTGGTCAGTAGGATGGTCCTGCAGCATCACAGAGGGTAGACATAGAAAATCCCCATTGATGTAGTTTGCTTTGTCTTCCTTGGTTCCCCCGACCCGGGCAGGGTCATTCCCCTGGGGGTTAATCTCCAGGGTTTGACCTTACCTTTCTGACTATGAAGTGCTATTTAGGGCCTTGTTACACATTAATTTTAGCCAGCTCCTGGAGCTCTTAACCCCTGGATTATCCATACATTGACACCTGAAACTAGTTTCAAGCACATTTTAGGTGGCTTAAAATTCTAACACTCCAAGGCAGGTTTATCTCTTATCTGTGTTATCCACCTCATGTTTCATTAATGTGTAGCCACCTCCCACAGATGACTTGGCCAAGTTACAGTCCTCCAGCATCCCAGGATGCAGTGCCCCCACCATCCTGTTCCATGTGGACAAACTTTCCACCCCCTGAACTCTCCTGCTCAGTTAGTGGTTCTAGCACCAAGCCAACTCCCGCTTCTGCCCCTGGGGGTGGGATCTTCCCACCCCTGGGGGTGCAACCCTGTGCAAACAGCGTGCAAAGCACATGCCAGTTAGCCAGGTCACAGGGTATGGATGGGTTTCAGCAGGGAACAAGGTAGGGGTAGAAGCAGTAGAGAGTGCTGCTTCCCTCCCGGTGGCTGTTCCCCTGTTTAATATACTCCTCAATTACATCCTACTACACCCTGCCTAATTCTCACCCTGGCTCTCTCTCCACTCCCTTGCTGGTATTCACTCCCTTCAGATAACTGCAGAGTAATGGGGATATCCCACACAAACAGACAGCAGCCATTTCGCAGAGATTTTAAAATTTAATCCTGGTATGTCATTTCTGATGGCAGCTTCTACTACATTTTAAAATTCATTCAGCACCCCATTACATTCAGTGTCAGATCCTTACTATGGCGACTAGCCAAAAACAACAGCATCAAAGTTACCTTCATTTGTTTACATTTTGTTTCTTGCATAATTTATGGAAACAGCACAAAATGACACAACACATAAACGATAGTAGGGATGAGGATGTGTCTGCACCAGCCTCAGCTGAGGTCTTGGCTCTCAGGAAGTTCCTGTAGCTTCCCCAAGGATTGAACTGAACATAGAGCTGGAAAGGAGGAGGTCACTTCACTTTCCTATGACCAGTCTTGATTTGTCCAAAAGACCATGGGGACACTGAAATACCATGCTTTCCTGATGCACTTGAGAAGCTGAGAGCAAGGGAACCCATCATTTAAAGGGCAATTTTAACTGTAAAAGTGACAACTGTGATATTTAATGTCTCTCTGGAAGCAGAAGAATAATTCCAACAGACCTACAGTTAAGCCTCTACTTTCAAATAAATGGCTTGACCCAAAGCCTTCTAAAGTCAACAGGAGTCTTTCAATTAGCTTCAGTGGGCTTTGGGTAAGGTCCAGAAGGATGGTTTTAATAAGTGCCAGGCTCACAGACCCTGCTTGGTTTCTGAAAATTCATCTGTTCCTGTCGGGGGTGCCATCATTAATCTAGATTCAGCCATCTGACCATAGCTGATTGGGGCTGGCCAACGGTCAAAGACAGCCCTCTGCAAATATTGAAACAAGGATCTCTGTACATTTTTAAATGGAAGTAGAGAGATGTCAAGAAAAAACTTTCCCATTCACCTTAGCGGATCCTGGATCAAGCCTCCACAGGAAAAAATGGGTCCCCCTGTAGGTCACCACCTCTGTAGATGTCTTTGGGCAAATTGTGGTTGGTGAGGCAGAAGGTAGAACAGATCCCATCTCACTCTTCTACAGCTGCATTGGCTCCTACAATGGACAACTCTTGAGATGGGCAGTGAAGTAGTGGAAAGAACTCATGTCTATGGCAGGGGTGGGAAAAGTCCAGCCCATGGGCTGGATCTGGCTGTCAGTGGACTCCATTTCCCAGCAGTCCCAGCCTGCATGGCTGGGGAAGGTTTCCATGCAAACACCAGCAGCAGTCACACTGTGATAGTGTGGGGCCAGGGTTTCTGTGGAAACTGGCCCCAGCAGTGCTGGCAGGCAGCAGCGGTGCTAGCCTCTTTCTGATTGGGGGGCTGACGGAGGGCTGTGCTATGGGCAAGAGCGGGGTGGGTTCAGCTGCTGCTGCTTGTTTAAGGCAGGCAGCAGTGGCAGCACCACCACTGGGAGGGGTGGCTACAGGGGGCTACAGGGAATTTTGAGGTTGCTGTAGCCCCTCCAAGCCCCCTCCAAGTGCCGCCCCTGCTAGCAAGGCGTGCAGCAGGACACAGAGCTGCTCTGGAGCCCAGCTGGGATCTTGTGACAGTGACAGTGTGGTCCAGAGCTGGGACAGAGCCGCAATCTGAAGCCTGCATACCCCGGGCAGGGGGATGCAGGATGTAGATCATGGCTCTGCCCCAGCTCTGGACCACGCTGTCACCACTGCAAGTTCCCAGCCGGGCTCCAGAGCAGCTCTGTGCCCTGCTGCACACCCTGCCAGTGCTGCTGGAGCTGGTCTCCACAGAAACCCCAACCTCATGCTATCACAGTGCAGCCACGCAGGCAGGGGCTGCTTGGAAATGGAGTCCAGCCGCTGGCTGGATCTGCTGTTTTGCTCATCCCTGCTATATGGCCTGCCATTCATGCCTAGGAGGACTCCCATGAAACATGCCCAGCCCACTTACTCCCATTCAGTTTGTGCTAAAACTTGGAAATGAGGTTACTTAGCTGCCTTGGAGCAGACTGCAAAGTATGTCCATCAGCATGCTTGAGACAGAGAGCCTAGGAGCTCCAAAATGGCTATACTGCCTTACTTAGGGAATTTGGCCTACATAAAGCAAGAGTAAATGAGTGGGACACGCTCTTGGCAATGCTCTCAGAAGTGCTGTAGATACTCACAAGATCAGATACAAGCCTCAATCCTACACACTTCCAGTCAATGGGAGGCTTGCCATTGGCTTCTGTGGGAACAGGATCAGGCCACAATGAGTAAAAATCTCTATTTTTACACTGACACTCTTTGGACTATAACTGCCCCGTCAGAACACCCAAGGGAATTGAAAGCACCAAAAATCTATTGACTCAAATGAATCCATATTCCTTCCCTGCCACTGGGCTGTTGCAAACTAAACATAAAGTTTATAAAAGTAAATTATTTCATCTTATAACTTAAGTGCATCAAGCATTTCCTTAAATATGGTTCACACTGAAAATAAAGTTACTTTTGCTGTACAGTAAATTTTTGATAGAATTAGGAATAAATTTTGTTGATACAATATGGCAGGTGGGCTGTGCAGTATATACTTGTGCACACACACTCACCTCTACACACTCTCATGTGCATGCATGCTCCCATGCACACTCACACACACACATGCACACACACCCCCTACCTCTCAACAGGAGTCTCTCAGTAAGATGGGGAGACATTAGGAGTTTCTAGCTCTCTATATGTGCATGAGAACATCTATATTAAAAGTCCCTGTTGTTAACAATAAATGCTAGAGCTGGTTGTGAAGAAAAATATGGTGAACATGTCTTTGAAAATGTTTCCTATAACTCACCAAAATGTTGTCAGAATTTCACTTTCAAAAATTTGTTGAACTTTTAAAATCTGATTTCTTTTCTTTTTGCTACATTTGGTCAAAAAAAGGAGGGAAGAATTGAGAAGATATTGTAGGAATGGGTTTTTTTCTGCTTCTATTGAAATTTAAAATGTTGTTAAGATTTTGAAGTTTGAAAAAGGTAGACCAGCTGCATTAAACATTTTGAATCTAATACTATGATTCTAATAGAAACCCTAAATTATATGATCCATAACTTATTCAGTCTTTGGAAATACTGAGCTACAAATATTGTTTGACAGCATTCCAGCAAAACAACCTCGTTGCCCATCATACCTCAAGTGAATTTAATCTACAGTGTAATGAGCATGGCAGCTGCCTGCCCAGTGGACACAGACAAAGCTCAAGAAGTAAAATAGGAGTTCTGCATGGAGTACAGATGATCAATAGGGTTTCCCACTCTTGACTGCAGGGGTCCAGCTTCTGATGTTGCTAGGAAACAGTCTCCCAGATTGCTAAGTGAGGTATCGTCGCTATCCAGGTCATGGAAAAGGGGCTCAGCACCTTAAATGGCAATAAAGGAATGATGCAAAAGAGTTATCACCAACATGGGGTCGGGCATTAGAAACATCAGAAACATATTTTGCACTTACACTGTCTACTTTCAGGGTTTTTTACAGACACACTGGCCAGTGCAGGGGGTGTTGTCAAACCACACTGCACCAGCCGGAGCTATAAGAAGCACTATGTGCTTCAAAGAGGTGTTGAACTCTTTCTCCACCCTCTTTCAGGGGAATAAAAGAGATATTTTTGACAAGCCACTGACCAGGGGCCACCGGAGCTGATGGTGGACAGTTAGGCATAGGTCAAGGACCCTCTGCTGCCACTTGGTCAGTCCTCATACTCCCAGATCCTGGTCCTTATCACACTCTTTGAGGTGGCTAAAGTTAGCTCTGCATTACCAGGAGAGGAACCAAGGCCTAGAAAAATAATGTCATTTCCCCAAGGGATGATCTACCATGCAGGTAGAGCTGAGAGACCAGCTAAGGACAGAGACAAGGTTTTCTTTGGCTAGTGAGATGGCTTTATAAACACAAAATAGAGCAGCCCAGTCAGCAAGAGAATGGAACATAATGTCACTGGTCTTCTGAGCCACCCCCCTCTCTCTGGTAGACCCGGGTCCCAGAGAATCACATTGCAATATATACTCAGCTGCAGAAACCACCCATATTGCTTAGCACATAATCCATTGTCCATTTTAGGACTGCCTAAGCCATCTTAGGTTTTATGATATGCTAACCAACACAACGGTGCTCCTTAGTCTTCAAGTCAGAGGGCCAAAAGAATATAAAGTTGCATTGAACTAAATTAAGAAGTAATTTTGAATCAGCTCTCATGCTGGCCTATCTGATCCATGTTCAGCTAGGTGCTTACACTGCTCTGTTGGACAAGAAACTCAATGCATAGGGAAGAGAATCAGTGGCTGCACAGACCTCCAGGAGCAGGAACAGGCCACCAACAAAGGGAACCTTTTGAGCTAAGCAAGAATTACCTCTACCTCAGTTAATGTAAGGATTTGGGCCTTTATGAGCCAGCATTTCTAAAAGGAAGCATAATTTAGGATTCAGCAAATTGAGATGGTATCCAGTACAGGACAGAAATGTCACATGTATGCATATATACACACACACACGATCACATAGTGCTCAGCTAATATAAACTGGTGAATCTCCACTGTGTTCCAGCATCTAGTAGTGGGAATAGACCAGTTCTAGTGCCCAAAGCTCCCCTATGCAAATACCCAGAGTCTTACCATAGGGATGCATGTGATCTCCTGGCATCTGAGGTGGAGTTAGCCCTTGCCTAAAGGGATCCGAGTTGTAGACACTCTGCTCAATACTCAGCATCTGTTGTGGTGGGGGCAAAGTGGTGTATGGGTTCATGATCCCTTCGAGGTTAGCACTCCCACCACTGTTTGTCTGAGCTGGAAGACAACAGAGGACAAGGCTATGTGTGTGTGGCTACAAGACCTCTCACTTCTAACTTACCTGGGTTATTACAAAGGTTTGCATGCCTATCCTCTCCAAATCTCCCCTTCCCAGTGCCTCATATCCTGATGCATGATGTCCAACCCACGCATCAGGAGAAGATTTCCCCCCCAGTTTACAGGGCTAATGAACCTGGAAGCAATATATGGCAGAATCTTTGTGTATGTGTGTGAGCGTGAGGAGGGGAGAGGGGGCAGGCAACTGAGACAAAGACACTGGGAAGGGGTCAAACTCTGGAGTTGAGCTGGGGCTTCTGGTAAACCAGGGTAGGAGATTGCAGCTAAGAGAGTTGGCGGCCTCATGCAGATGGGTTGATGAGAGGGAGACAGGTAGTAGATCTGAGTGCTGTGCAGAATTAGAAGAATTATAGTTGCTGAGTTAAAGTGGTTGGAAGGGAGGCTCCATGCAGTGGCTCTGTGGTCTCTAGTGGGGCAAGTCGGGTCTCTGGTAGCAGACAGGGGGAGTCCAAGGGTGTTTCAGGCAGTACCTGAACTCAACCGCTGTGTGTTTTGTTGATCTTGCTGCTGCTGCTGTTGTCTCCTTGCAAGTTTCTTCATCTGTTCAGGAAGGAAAGGAATGCAGAGGTTTGAAACCAGCTTGGATGCACTGGCCTGTCAGATACAAGGCAATTGGCTGCACCTTTTTCCTGCTGCCCCATAGAAGAGGGACTTTTCCTTCGACCATGAGCCTCTTTACAATGGGGCAACATTGTTCCTTTCCCACTTCATAGGGCGGTGGTGAGGGTAAGTTAGCTAATGTTTGTGAAGGGAAGAACAGGTTCCTAACTAGGACAACCTTACCTATGACTGACATGGTGATTTTCATCTTCAAAAATGCTTTATGCATTTTTGTCCTGCCCAGTACTTGCACTGGGAGCTCTCTGGAGCAGTACAGTGATAATGCAACTCCCAATTGGCACACATACATTCCTAGTGAGATTTTAGGTTTGTAACAGCCCAGAGCACAACTCTGGGGATTCACATTCCTCTGTCTGGAATACTAATGAAAAACCAGGGTCCCTGGGCTCTGGTGCAGCACGTATGTAGTCGCTGTTGCTTACCTTTGCTCTTTGATTCTGGAACCAGACCTGCACGACTCTCACACTCAGCCCAGTCTCTGCTGCCAAAGTTTCTCTGACCTTGGAGAAACAACAAAGTAGATGTTCTCATTCTTCTAAGCAGCTCTATTTATTTTGCTAAGTTTCCTTTTGGAGGTGGCAGTGCTTCCCATATAAAATGCTTTCCTCCTTGCTACCTTCCATTCCCCCAACTGTCCCACAAAAGTTTTCAATGACAGAACCTTATAACCTGACATCTAATACCTAAACTAAGCCCTTCAACTGCAACACCAGTTCTCTGTTTCCAGGGTGCCAAAAAGAAAAGGATCCAGCCCCTGCTTTCTGCAACTTTTCCCCATAGAAACATAGTAGACACAGGACAGACTCCCTTGAGCTCAGTCTAAACCCCAGGCAGCTTCCCTCAGCCAAGGGTCTAAATGATTTATTGGTAAAAATCAAGGTAGCTCCAACAACTTCAGTGGAACCATGTTTATTCACATCAGCTCAGGATCAAAGAAAACTAACCATACAATATTATGACAATATCCATTTGCAATTTGATTATGCAAATCTCATGGCTGTGTGCAAAAATAGGCATGGGTATGTATGGCTGCAACCCGTCTTGATCAGCTCTGACATATTTGAAATCTGCACATACCCAATTATGGTAGCTGCTTTTTAGAACTGGGTTCCCTGTGTGCATACGACTATGCAGGCACATGCTACACACGCACACCACCGACACGAAAGAGCCACAGCAGGCCAGGTCCTCAGCTGATGTCAATCAGCACAGTTCCAGCATCTTCAACGATTTACATTTGCTGGAGAATCTGGCCCAACTTCTACAATATGCTGAGCAGTGGTTTTTTCACAGCACCTTTCTACATGGCTTGGAGGAAACCTCAAATGATGCTTTGAATGCCCTCCGCTGCTGCGTTGTCAAGATGGTCCTGGGTCTCTTGGGCCTCTTGTGATCTTTACTGTCCTCTCCTTTCCCAGGGGTTTGTCCCATTTTGCATAAGCTGTCTTCATCATCACTTTTACCTGTAATAATGAAGCAGGTGCATCAAGATGGTGGACAGAGCATTTCATCTTTCTGCACTGTGTGTTTTGGCTTAGTTAGACTGTATAATTCCTCTTGTTAGGGAATACACCTTAGGCCTCAGACATGTAGGGTTCAATTTTCTGCAGTGTTTGAATGACTTAGGACATTGGTGACCAACTTGCAACATGTGCAGCACAAGTGACACAGGCAGCCTTTGCATATGACAAGTGGCAGACTGAGGAGGGGGTAAGCAGCCCAATGGCAGATAGGGCAGAGAGCAGAAAGAAGAGCAGCAGATCAGGCAGGGAACACAGAGCTGACAGTAAAAAGCAGAGCAGTAGATTAGGCAGGGGAAGGGGATTGGAGTAGGACTCAGGGAGGGTGCATTGTTTAATTTGTGGCATGCCTGCCAAAAAGGTTGGCTCATAGATGTAGAGGTCAAATCCTATTAACTTTCAGGCCCTGGCTTTAGGCCAGTGGGATTTTGGCTTGTAAGAACATGTCTACACTGCATTGGACAATGCTATAGAATGCCCCAGGGGAAACACACCCTGCCCATTCACTCCTGTTCCATGTATGTGGCATGATTTAAAAAAAATGCTTTGTAGCCTATACATCATAAATACTGCAGAGCCTCGGAGCAGTCCTGGGTGTGCCTTGGACACAGCTGAAAAAACAGCTAAGTTATATTTATTTTGGCCTGGTGGGTATCTGGATTGGAAGCAGACAGTAGCAGGGTCTATCCTGTTCATCCTTATTCTGTTCAGCGTGCCACAGGCCTAAGTCAGAGGTCAGCAACCTATGGCTTATAGGCCAGATCCAGCCCACAAAGTGATTGGCTCCAGCCCTTTGTGGTATGGGGGACCGGCAGCATGAAATGCAGTCTGGTTTGTCCCCTTCTCTGCCCTGCATTGTGCCACTGATCTGTTCTTCTCCTCTCACCTTTCCCTTGCAACAGCCCTCCCTGCTGCTCTTTTTCCTCTGTAGCAGGTGCTGTTTACCATCCCTGCCAAATTTGACCCTCCACTACCCCTCCCCCCCGCCACCAAGGATGGGAATCAGTGGCCTATAGTGGAGGTGGCAGTGTGTAGCAGAGGTGGCAGCAGGTGGGTTAGACTCTCTAAAAGGTTGCCAACCCCTGCCAGTTTTCTCACACCAACCTGCTAGTTCTATCCTATAGTATTATCATCTATAGTATTACCATTATAAGTCAGACCAGGAAGTTTACATTTGTGCAAAAAGAGGTTTCATGCTTGACTGATCAGAAGACACTAGGGCTTATTTTCTAATGTACCCCAAACCAAAGCAGCTCTCAATGTGTATTTCTGCAGCTTACAAAATGGGACATAGATTTTTTTATCAGGAAGGCAACCAGGCCAAAACATTTGCCTTAGAAGTTTAACACCAAAATAAATGCTAGGGAACTTTTCTCCTGAGACTCAAAACCACTGTAGCAGAAGGATTTTAAAGCAAGAGAAGGAGGGGAGAGTCAGTCTTTAGGCTACAGGTGCTGACACCAACATATAAGGTCTTGATGTTCTTCATCATGTAACCTAACCTGTCAATGTGAAAGTGATGTGAAAGGAAGAACACTGGTTATTTGCTGACAGCACTGCCTGTAGAACCAGAGGCAATAGAAGCATACATTTATTTTCTGAAAAAATAAAGAAAGCCCTGACATAGCCCACCCCCTCCAACCAAATTCCAAATTCAGGAGATTCAGTAAAAGCATGTATTTATGTCATGCAACGTTTAAACTTGTTTCATAGGTGATAAAGGTTGGTGAGATTTTGAGGTTGCTTTTCTTTTTTTTTCTCTTTTTGCTCAATCTGTGCTGTTAATTTATGATGCAAGCTCTCAAAGATGAAGGATATATGCTGCGGAGCCAGACACCTGTGGATCCTGGCTCCACACATCAGTGTCAGAGCTAGCAAAAGCAGCAACAGTTTATAAACACATTTCGAGGCAAGCTGAACTTTCATTAAGGGGAAGTAAGCAAAGCCTGGAGCCATGCAGGGGAAAAGCATCTCTGTGGGGCTCTAAGATTTTTAACTGCTATTTTTTCATTTCAAAGTTTAAATCTGAACATTTAAAATTTAACAGCTTTTAACTTAAAAATATATTGCCTACTTAATAGTTGGCTTCTTTTTTCCTCCAACAGCAGATCAAGGGCTAGACTGTCTAAAGGAACAGGCAGAGAGGGTAGAACTTTTGGCCATATGCAGTACAAGGAATCTAACTTCGCCTGATGATTCCACCTATTTTCAGCAGGCTGAACAGCCCTATAACTATACAATAGGGGCATAGGATTTCCTGTATTAGATTAGACCACTAGTCTGTCTAACATGGAATCCCCAACTGCTAGTCTGGAAAAAGGGTTTCATGAATGCACATATACATTTGGCAAAATCCACCCCACAGACAAGCCCTCAGTCACCTCACAATGATTTTAGGGGGTAAAGAGCACTCAATGTCATGGAGACTGCTTATTACCTTGCAGAATCAGGCCCTAAAGTCCTCTTATGACTCTTATTTCTTTTAGAGCAGTGACTAGAATCCCTGAGTGAAGATCACACCCTCAAAATGCTGGATGGAGTATTACACTTAGTGAGAGACAATCCCTGCCCTGAAGAATTTTTTGTCTAAGTAGATAGGATGGAAAAATAGAGGGAGGGGAAACTGAGGCACAGAGATGGGGCATGACTTGCCGGAGATCACACAGCAGGCCAGTGGCATGACCTGGAACAGAATCCCAGTTTCCCCGAGTCCCAGGAGAATGGCTAACGTCACCTGGATTCCAGAATAAATACACACCGCTGTACTAGCAGATTTAAGAGAGCAGCAAGTTTGCAGAGGCTGAAGCAAGAACTTAGGACCATAGGATCAGGAAGTACTCCTGAGGGGCTGAGCCAGAGGCTGTTGGATGTAGGGGGGAGAAGAGGATTTTAAATGCTTTTAAAAATCACCCAACAATATGAAAACCTTTCAAGCCATTCTTGTTCCAGCATGGAAGTCATATTGCTTTAAAAAAAGAAAAATACAACCTATGACCTGGGGGATTTTTTAAAACCATAAATCAGGGGCTTTTTAAAGTCTTTCCCCTCCCCCCTGACCTTTCTTATCATTTCCTGTGACAAAAAATACTAAGCCTTTCTTTCACCTTTTCATTTTTCTCTCCCTCAGTTATTAGGCCAAGCAGCTTTAATTTATTCACCCTTCAGTGTCTCTCCACAATCGCTCTCTGTAATTTATACCCCACACCGCTTTGCGTTCCTTAAGCCTGCAAGGCATTTTGGGATACAGTTTGTATGAAAGACGCTACACAAAAGAAAGCTTTATTGCATTCCATAATTAAGGGACTTTATTTATGTCTTAAATACTGTATTGATAAGCTCGTTTATTAAGCCTCAATCAGCAGCTGACTAGGAAGGGATGAAAGCACTTGTGAAATGAGTATTTTACTGCAAAGGAACTCCCCTCTCCTGAGCTGTAAATCAATCATAACCTTTTTCACAAAGCTCTTCCAGGATCCATTTGGGAAGTGTTTACAGTAATTACACCAATAATGAAGCTAAACTGCTTGTTTTAACAACATGATGCAGATGTCAATAGCATGGCCAGGCTTGGAATAGGCATCATTTTAGAAATTAGCAGAATGGAAGGAACCAGAGCCAGTTTTAGAGCGTGTCTACCCTGCCTCTTTGGTGTACATGGGAGTAGCACCAAGAAGCACAGCCCATCTTCTCCCTCTCCGAAATAATGACAGCATGTTGTGTAGCCAGCACTGGATGTGTGCCAGGAAGCATGGCTGAGCCTGACAATGGTGCTGGGTATGTGCCAAAGGCAACTCCACTGCACTTTTCCAGCATTTGGCAAGCAGGCACAATAGGGTAGCATGTGCCTTTCACTGGGGCTCCCAGGCTTGCCGCAGTGGCTACATGGATGATCTCCCAGGGTCTGTGCACCCATGTGTGTTGTGAAGGATGGGAATGAAATGAGTTGGAGGGAGGGCCCTGGTGGAAGTGATGTGAAATGATAGTGATTCTGTGTTAGTGCAATGCAAACTAAAATCAGCTCTGGGAGACTTCAGCACTGAATTAGGAGAGGTGGATGTGACCAAGGAAATTTCCCTTAAGTTCCCATTCCTGTAGGAATGTACCTTTTAAGGGCTGTAACTTAAAGCAAGCTATTGTCTGCTAGATCTCCAGCCCATTTCTGCTGGAAAAAATCTGTGGGTTTATACTGGGCTGTGAAATAGGATAGGATACACTAAAAGGCCTTGCCTTGCAGGCAAATATGTTTTTTCATAAGTGCAGTAGCATGTCAAACTGTCATATTACTAGGGCAGCTGAGATAACCAGGAAAAGAAAGTTCACAGAGACTAGTCATCTGTCCAAGTGAAATGTTATGGAAGCTAATCAGAACTTGAATCAAAGGTGCCACGAATGAGCACAAACAAATTCATAATTACTCTGTTGCATTAGAAAAATGTAAGTTCAGCATCAGCCAGAACAAGGATGTCCCTAAGGTAACGTTAGCTAAGGGATGAAGTATGGGCCTATGGTTAGCATCCTACCTGCATCACAGGAGATTTGGCTGAAGTTCCTTCTTTGCCATAGACTCTACGCAAGAGACTCTATGCAAATGGGGATAATTCATGTATCCCAACATTATTTTGTTGACCTTTTTTTTTTTTTTTGGTTGTGAGCTCTCAGGGTGAAGGACTGCCTTTCACTATGTATTTGAATAGGACCTACCACAGACATACTCTTATCTCAGTTGGGACCAGTAGCTATTTCTGTAATAAATCAGTTTACTTGGTGAGGTCCTCTTCTCCTGACATCTGCAGTAGCCCCTGGAGAACAAGAATGGATCCTGGCAAACTCAGCTGAGAAGAGCTCCTGATTACCTGACAAAATGCTGCTGAGTATTAGCCTTAAAGCACATCTCATGCTGAGGTTGGGGCCTCTCTTGCCATATAAATGGCAATCATAATTAA